TCTGGTGCGGATGCACTGGGCAGCAGCTTGCAGCCCTCCCTGCTGTCCCCCAGAGCCAGGCCTGGAGCCGGGGCCCCTGTGCTCCTCAAGGGGTTGGTAAACCTCTCCTCGCTCCACTTTCACAGGAATGAGGAGGTCTGCTTCTCTGAGGCTGCATGCAGCTGGATGTGCGCACACCTCACTGCCCTGGGGAGCCCTGGAGGGACGCTGCTCGGAGTGGAGCAGGGCTGGGGTCTCCCTGCCACGCTGGCCCTTCGCATGGGTCTGTGAGGATGTGGCTGGGTCATGATCTGGGGTAATGAAGCCCAGGGAGGTGCAGACCTGCGGGAGCAGAAGCAGGATGAATTACCGCTGAATGTGCTGAGAGCTGTGCATCCGAGACTGCTTTATAAGCATCGCTCAGCGTGCTTCTGCGGCTGGGGGCCCAGCACCAGCGCTGCCAGCTGCGCACCAGCACCCAGTCCTGCTGCCCCAGTGCTGCTGCTGGCAGAGGGGCTGGGCAACAAGCAGGTTGCACCCCCGCCAGCTCAAGGTTGCCAGCAGGGTCTCCCACGTGCCCCAAAGGCAGGGGAGCTGCTGCTGCCTGTGCTGTCTGACGGCTCAGCACCTGGTGCCTGCTCCCCAGGCACAGCCCCAGCCACGGGGCTGAGCAGAGCTGCAGGCCGTGGGGAACCCTGCGTGGTGCGCGTGGCAGCCCAACGGGGCTCATCCAGCAAGCAAAGGTTGTGTGGCTTCTGAGGCTGGCGGAGGGTTAGGAAGGACCTGTTGAGCGGCACCGTGCTCAGAGGGGTTGGCTTTGGCACAGTTGCTTGGGAATGGGCTGTCGTGCCCCAGTGGAGCCCAGTGCTGCTCAGGGCCGGAGGGCTGCCAGGGAGCAGAGGGCGCTGGGGCACCAGCCCGGCTGGAGACCCACACTGTCACACAGGCCTGGCATGGGACATCTGAACCAACAACACTCCAGGCATGGAAACTGCTGGACACTCTATGCACCTCTTCCACCACAGCCCATTTTTCTGGCCTGCAGTGGTGGGTCTTCCCCCGTGGCAGAGGAGGCTGTGGTCACGCACCCCCCCAGAGAGCTGGAAGCTCCCAGAGGAGCAGCAAAGTGGATCCCAGTGACCTGCTCTGGGGAAGCCCTTTGGTCTCTGGGCTGCCGTACGGGACAGGGGTGCAGCACCTCTCCCCCCTCGGGGAGTGGGAGGCAGCTGGCAGCTGCTTGCCCTGCAGAGCCCACAGCACCATGCGACCACGGGGTGACCGTGCGAGTGGCCGGGCTCGGTCCTCTCCAGGGAGTACTCCTGGCCTTGGCCCAGAAACAAGTTTGAGCCCAACTGAGTCATCTGCCACGAAGGGCTGCAGCCTCTGTGGGTGGGGAGCTTGGGGTCTCGCCCAGGATCCTCCCTCCAACCTGGCACACGGGCTGGGCCATCCTTCTGGCACTACCGCCGGGGACTGGACGGGAGCCTGGGGGAATACAGACCTCCCCAAATCCCTGCACCCCCCTTGCTCTCACCCCTGCCTGGGGGAGGGGGCCCACTGTTCCTAGGGCAGAAGTCGGACTGAGGGAGGTGTGGGCCAAACCAGTCCTGCGGGGTGGTGTAGGGCCAGGGGGGGCTGAGGACACCACAGGCTGCTCCTGAGGGCGAGCGAGCACTGGGGCCATGTGGGGCAACAAACCCGGGTCCCCAAGAAGCCCTTGCAGGGTGGGGGGCCCCGGCGGTGCCCCGGGAATTAATCTTGCAGCGGTGTCAGGAAGAGGCTAAAATGAGCCCCACAGAGCGTGTGGGGGCGCCCCCACGGTGTGACTCCCCCCAGGTGCGGTGGGGAGAGGGCAGCCCTGCGCCCCGCAGGCTGGAGGTGCAGCAGCAGGCGGG